CGAGTTCTGACTGTGGACCAACGCCTGAGAGCAGAAGGATTTGGGGAGAGTTGATGGAACCAGCAGAAAGAATGACTTCTTTAGAGACATGAACGACGGTCTTTGGGCCTAGAATCCAAATTACATCACCAGGCAATTAATAAAATCGTTCCCTAATGCAATCCAAGGATCATTTACCATTTGGGCCTTTGGTAAACTCAACGCCAGTCACAACTGGTACTTCACCCTCAGTGAACAATATTCTGGTGACTTGGGCGTTCCGTAACAAATTCAAGTTCGGTCGGGCCCCAACCGCTTTGAAGTAGTTTCTCGAAGCACTCCTAACGCCCGTTCCTATGGTTCCAAACATTCTGCCAATACCGAGAGGTTTCCCAGAGTTGGCGTCGGAGTTCCAGCTGAAGTCCGGGTGCTCGAATGCAGCTATGATTGGACATTGATATATATGAAAACATCCGTGCGACACAGAAATTGACGTTGATGAGGCATACCTTGTTTAACCCTGTCGGCGAAAGGAGTTGGGTAATTAGGAAGGGAGATGAGTATGGGGCCTTTGTCTCCATAGACGGCGGGATTATAATCCCCGGTGTAGTCGTGACCACTGGTGGGGAGTTTGCGGGTTTCGGACTAAGAGCGAAGGGGGGGAGGGGGCGGATAAGATTAAGTCGGAACGAGGGGACGAATGTCCGAACCTTTTGGGAGAATGAGAGGATATTATCCCACGACCAACGTTGATCGCCGGTGATATTGGCGATTCTGTCGTACTCTTCGAACGACCCACGAGTATAGAACATGAAGTTGATCTACATCAATATTGTGTTCATCATCGAGCCTAATAGAGATGGGAATCGCTCACTCACCATTGATGTCCCGCCGACCACTTTTCCACGTGGGAATGGGACTATTCTGTTGTTAAGGCCGATTTGAGGCTCACTCTGATAACGCCACAGCCCCTCTGTGCCGAACGCTGGTTGCGGAGCAAATACCGGGACATTCCACGCCGGAGTGTTTGGCGCGCTGTTTGGAGGAACAACTGAGAGTGCGATTCCGGCACAATACTAACCAAACTTACTCTGTGCCAGCCTCGAGCACGAGGACTTTGAAATCAGGATTCTCCGATAGACGCGTCCCGAGGACAGCCCCCGCGGTGCCAGCTGCATATTTCGTAAACACTGAGCGCAATCTCGGCAGATAGGTGGAAACGTACCCCCGATGATAATGAAATCGTAGAGAGCTTTCAGTGCATTCTCAGAGGACATGGCCGGTTCGAACTACAGGATGATGATCTTGTTTCCTCATCCCCTTATCTAAATACGCAAAGAACGCGGCATTGACCCTTGCAGATTTTTTTGCTACTGTGTATGGGCATTCGCCTGGGACAAGTAACGGGATTGATTGGTCATCTCGGCGTGGAGTTGGCCGGATCTCGCGGAGCCCTTGACTACGGGGGGCGGTGCAAAGTTGTAGGACCCCCAATGTCTATCATTCAATTGTTGATGTGATGTGATGAGTAGAGCCATATACGCGCAAAGCCGCTTGTGAATCATGTCAGTACGGAACCTGCTGAATCATTAGGCAGGTTACCAGCCTTTACTATTAGTACTAGCTGAATCATGCATCTCAATCGCTTGGATGTGAAACCCGACGTCACAACGGCTTAGTGTGCATGGTGTATCCAAACCCTCTCGCAGCTAGGTCACAGGCGAGTTGGTTAAAGCAGATGATATTCAGTTCGGATTCAACACATTTGCGAATTAAGATAAGGATCTCATTATCATGAACCAAAAGCGGGTGCCGAACGTCAAGGCCCAAGGGCGATGAATAGGAGATGGAGGGTTTTGGGGGAAAAGACTTTTGTAATAGATACAAAAGGGAGGGGGGGGAAGCACACTGAAGCCACCATACGATTTTTGCTTTTTTTTTTTTTTGGCAGTGAGACAACAGGTACGTGAATTCAATGTGAAATGAGTTGCTGAAAAAAAAATTCTACATGAATTTCATTTCCTATTACCATTTGATGCTTAGTCGACCTAAGCTGACGATTCAAATACCTTTCATATACAAGCGCACGGATTTTTGTTGTCATGTCGCGGAAGGTAGCTCGGTCAATCGAAAGGATGGCCGAGGGGGGGCTTCGAACGGGGCTGCCAGCAGCGAAAGTGGGGGCTTTCATGCATGGTGTAAAGACAGTGAACACATAACGAATAATTAGCGTGCCAAATATGGTCAGCCAGTATTGGACGGCGCGGTATTCATTCTGTGTACCTGACTAGGTGCCCCCCGCAAATATATATGGCGTACTAACTTAACTGAGGGAACGGGTACTGGGATGGGAAACGAATGATAAACATTGTAAAGGGCGGCGTGGCAGGCCCGTATCCGAGGAAAACGGCAGTGTGGTTGGAGAATATTAAACTGAGTATGGCACGAGGTCAGCTCGCAAAGAAGGGCCTAAGGGACTGAAGAACAACACTGATATTCAAAGGGGGAGTTGTGCTTATTGAACTAAACGGCCTCGGACCTCTCAGTCCCGTTGTTCGGGCGGAGTGATACGTTCCTGGCACATTAAATGCAGCAGGCTTAGGTAAATATTATAGAAGCCAGTAATCGTCCATTCAAGGATAGAATTTGGGACGGAGGGGGTCACAATGCTGGAAGGGGTGCAGGGCAGGAGCCGAGCAAGGATGGGATAAGTACAATATACGGGTTTGCTCGGCAAGCCCCCCGGGTGTTTCGGAGAACGGCGAGAATGACTATACTGTGCTACTTATTGTGAGTAAGCTCTGATATGGTGGTTGGGGAGCACGCTGTCACGGACAGCCCCCCCGAGTGATGATGATGATTGGCGTAAAATTGGAGGGAAAACGTGCGTTTGCATGCATTGGTGGGCTGATGGCGACATGGCATCATGGCGTGATGTAGAAGTTCCAGCGTTCGTGCGTAGCGGTGGGCGGGCCCGTTGACTGGAAGGCAGCGGGGTGTGTGTGTCGAGCTTCCTTTCTCAAGTGGAGGGGATGGCATGAGCGGATCGAATACCCCCTCCCCCCAGGGGGGGGGGGGGGGACAGGAATCGACATGGGGCATGTCGCAAGAAGAACAATCTTGTACTGGATGGACCAAGAATGATCTCCTTCACTGTGGGGTCAAGATATTGAAGCAGTGACCCGCCAATTTCGCCTACAGCTTGGGTTTGCTGACCAGCGTATCACAGAAAGGCTAATTGAGCGGCCAAGACCTTTAGGTCTCTGAATTCGCACTTGACATCGCCACTGCTCGGACGACGCTCCAAATGGACGATCAGGGGGGGCAAGTAATAATCTTTACCGTGACGTTCCACACTTACATTGTATCGCCCCATGGAATCATTTCAGAATCCATACATAGAGATGCTATGCAATGGAGGGGGGGAACACAGCCCGCATCGGTGGGAAAAACCTAATCTCGTAGTATCGCCCCTCGCTATAGGCTACGCCACCAAATTCACACTACACACATCGCATGGGGAACATTGCTGAAAGCGATGGGACATGTACACGTGGTCCAAAAAGACACCAGAGGGTACCTGATATGTTGCATGCCGAAGAACAATTCCGAGGGGGGGAAGTCGATCACCAGCATTCAGTCAGACAGCAATCATTGTCGCTTGGCAGACACTGTAGCGATAGCACTGCTAGTTATTCCAAGTCGCGTACCATTCGTTCGTCAATAATGCACAATATTTAAGTAAGGCCTAGTGTGGGAAGGTAGTAATGACAACGTTGTGGGTGTTTACGTCCACTGTATGTATCAACCAAGCCGCCACCGGAGCACAAGCCGAAGTGGGATCCACTTTGATTAAGAATGAATCCAGGTTATAGGGTTGCATATGGCTTCGCGCTTTCTAGGAATAGAAGCGATACTAATATTTACAGTAGTATATCCGTGTGAGCAGTCAGAACGAGCTAGTGACCACATTACCAGCCGTTGGCATGCCGAAAGAGTTCAATTGCTTAGCAGCGTCCAGGGCTCATTTGTGCTATATCGCACTTTAGGTGGGCCTCTTTCTCCTGTCGTCCCTGTTGCTCCATGCTCGCCATTTCGACATTCCCCATTTCTACATCTGCGCCTCCCGCTTCGCATCAGTCTTTCCATTCGAATTTTTAAAAGATAGACCAAACAGCTTCAGAACGAACTCGCGTGACGAACAGATGCGCTTAATTGAGCCAACAGTGCTAGTGCTAGTGCGCGCTACCAGCGAGAGAATTATTGTAGGCAGAGGCTCCTGCACCAATACATATAGGAATTCCAGTAAGCAAGTTGGCGACTGCAAATGACCCGGAAGTTGATGGAGAACGCATGCAAGAGTCAAGTCCAAGATTTGGTCCTTAACTGGGTTGCTTCACTTTAACGGGAGAGGGGAGCCAGGCCAAAATCGGACTTGAACAGGACGTTCCTGGTAATCTCCGCAATTCAAAAAATTCGCTGTTTTCCCACGATTACACTCGTTGCACCCAGTCTGACGGCGCTTGTTGTGCCGGACAACCCAGTGTGAAAGGATCAGGAACAGCAGAGATGTCAAACCATTGCCGTACGCTATTCGGGGCCGGCTCTAGCCTCCCCCCTTGACTAAACTTCGATATAAGTACTGCCTCAGTAGCGCAAAATCACAAGGCAGTGATGCTACCGTCGCGACCAAGTCGTGTGAAATAGAATATTAAGCCTCGAATACGGGAAGGTTAATGTAGTGCTTGACATGACGCCGTTGGTCCCCATGGAGTAACGATGAATGATTGTTTCAACCCTCCGATCGATCGGATCCCCAGCTGTTCACATGTATGTACAGGTGGTTGCGCCATCCATATATACAACAGTCTGTACGTAGACATATACACAGTACTGTACTGTGGGCATATATATCCCAAATACATGATGCAAGCAGCTAGCTCAGCATGTACGACTACATAAGATGGAAAGCTATACATATAGCTAACATTGAGCAAGTCAAAAATCATGCTACATGGTAGAAGAAGCAAATGATGTCAGTGATCGATCGATGATTAAAAACACAAAAAAATGTGCTTTGACGTGTGAACATGGAGCTAAAAGGGATGATGATGATGACGTGGAGGCAAGTTCTCAGGAAACACAAGACCCGACCCGAGGCCGCCTCATCTCAGTTCGTCAAATCCAAACCCACCTGCCCCAACCCCTACCAAATTCCTTCCTGCCCCACCATGATAAGGCGGACTATACGAAGCACAAGAATACGAATCAAAAGAAGATGGACTCGAGGGGTTCATCGAACTCAACGAGTCGTATCGCGTCGAGTAGGAACGCGAAGAAAGGGACCTGTGGTTGTAAGTGTGGGTTGGTAACCAAGTGTGGAAGGATGAGGTGGAAGAGGCAGTGCGGGATTTTTTGTTTGAGGAAGATGTGGATGACCAAGGTAACCACCACCGCCATAATGATGACGTCTCGTCATCTTCATCTTCGTCGTCGTCGTCGTCGTCGTCATCGTCGTCGTCATCGTCATCGTCGTCACTGTTGTCTCGTTGATAAGGATAAGAATTCCCCGGGTCATTTTGGTTCATGGTACCACGCCCAAATAACGATGATGAGGAGTTTTTTGCAGCAACACGTTTTGGATGTGCATCCTAGTAAAAGCATGAACCCAGTTAAGCTCCCTGTCTCACCTCAAAGCTCAGATCAGGAAGAAAAAAACAACGCACCTGCCAAATGATCGTCTGACCAATCTTCTTCCATTTCCCTAATCCTCCTTCCTCAGCAGTATGTTTACCCCAAATCCTCTTCTCCTTGGCTTCCCAACTTTCAATTTCATACACCCTAAAATCATCTTCCTCACTGAATCGGACGTTTTTTCTTACGTCATTATTGCGGTGGTGGTTGCTACCAATGTCGATTGGGATCGGCGTTGTTGATCCAGTGGGTGTAAAAGTTGCAAGACTACTTGAGGATGCTGAAGGGGAGATGATGGAAGAAGCGGAAGAAGTCAGGGAAGGAGTATCGAGAGGAAGGGGGACTGGAAGGGGAGGTGTGAGATGAGGTGCGGAGGAGGACGTCGTCGTCGTCCTGCCCGGGGATGAAGTTTTTTTGAGCGCTGAGCGAAGAGTCTGGATGTGGATGGGAGACGATCGCGGAGAAGAGGGAGGTGAATTCGTTGAGGTCGTGGAAGTTGAGTCCATGCTCAGAAGGCGTGTCCGCTCGGTGGGTGCCCGTGTTTGTGTTTGTGTTTGTGCCTGTGCTTGTGTTTCCGCTGGAAATTGAATATGATGAGTGGGCGATGAAGGGAGGAATGTCGGTGATCTAGGTGAAGCAGGCAACGTAGAAGTTGAAGGAGAAGATGAGAGCAAAGGTGAGGGTGAACCGAGGCTACCACTCATCCTTGTAGAAGGCAAAGTATTGCTGTCACCACCACTTCTATCTCTCCTTCCTTCCCCCCTTAGAATCCTTACTAACAGCCGTCCTAAGGCAAGTAGATGGCGAAGGAAGACGAGGAGTGTTGAGAAGGCTTGCCCGAGCGTATGGAGGATTTGTGAAGGCAAGGGCACCGCCGTCGATGTTGTTTGCTTTTCGAGATCGTCGAGATCGTGGTCTGCATTGATGGTGGTAGTGGTGGTGGTGGTGGCAAGCATGGAGGTAGAGGTGGGTATCGTGTGGCAATGGCGCGGTGAGCCCGATGATGATGATGATGATGATGATGACAAATACGTCGATGTTTGATCCATTATTATAAGCACACGGTGTGTCTAACACTTCTAAACGACAGAGAGCGCCTAAGATCCTTTTCCTTTTTGCTGCGAGCGAATCAAAGTGTGTGTGTGGGAGGGAGGACGAGCTAACTTTTTTTCTAAGCTGTCGGAACGTCTAAGGGTTATCGTCTACACGAGCGCGTGCGGGGGGCGTGTCAACCTTGTGAGCTCTATATACGATCAATGCAAGAAGCGAGCGTGTCAGCAGAGGAAGAGAGAGAGAGAAGGGGGGGGGTGTCGTCCCCAGAAGCTAAGGACGATGTTTTTTTTTTTTTTTTAGAATTTGCGATGAAGGTTGGCTTGAAATGGTAAATGACTCTGACTTACCTCCACGCGTCATCAATTGAGTTTGACGCCACTAGTCTCATTCAGGAATATGGGTTGGCGGCCTAAACATGCAGACGCCTGGATCATGCAACAAAGGAAAGGATTACAATAGGCGGGCCAATGATCGAGCGCGAGTCAAAAAATCAGCGCTCGTTTCTGATTTGTCCGCGACTGAAAAGACTTATAAATAAGCGACCGGATCTTGATTTTGCTAACACCCCTTGTACAGTACTTGCTCTAGGCAGGATACCAGCCTCTATCGATCTATAGATAGACCTGTGCGCGATATGTAAGTAAAAGCGCTTTATGTATGTACATAATGCTCAGGCCGACCAGGCACGGATGGCTGCAGTGCGCTCAAACCCGCGCCCGGCCGGCACTGGCAATCTCGGCGCTGACCCAAGAAAGAAAAAAAAATTAGACTCTCCCTCATTCACAACTACTTATTTTCCGGGATTCGAGCATGCATGGAGGGCCGAGGACATTTGGGCGAACGGGGGGTTTGCGTCAACGGACCTAAAGATACCTTGACAACAACCTCCAGCCATATTCCCAATTGCGAGTTAATCACACCACCCCCAGGACCAAAGAGCCTGCTGCAACACGACTATGACAGGCTAAGGGTTGGGGAATTGGCCGAAATGGGTTCGCACTCTATGAGTTCAAGGGTAATATTGCTGGGGAGATTCGGATTCAGGCCAAGTTCGGTTGTCTAGTAACGCGATGTTGTTGAGACTGCATGCATGGATGTGGCAGCTAGAGAGGCTGTCGAGCTGGGTGAGATTCGACATCGAGTCCATGGCTTATGCCGAACTCTTTTTGGGATTATTCCTTCGGCCCGGCGAGCTTTAGGTTATGCTGAGCTGTTGGAATATGCGATGTGAGTGATATGTGTATGCACGCACGGTCAGCTCTATGGAATAGAATGATTTTTGTTCTTAGGTTCTCCGGCCGAGCCCATACGGAGCACTCGGCGGCACTGGAGTGGCTGTCATCAGCTGTCCACCCATGTAAGCGTAAAAGTATGGCCAACTAGTGTTTGATCATATCATATACGATTTTGCGCTGTTGCGCGTCACAAGTACTGTAGGCAGTGCGGCGGACATGCATTATTCATGCACACTCAGCGTGCAGGGGGGTCTCCCTTGTGACGCTTGCTACCGTGTTTCGGTCCGCGGAATTAACAGTGACGTTGCTGTGATCCGTGGTTCCCAGCGTCCTCGACTGCAAATCACTCTAACACGCGCGGGGGGCGCGGGATCACGCAGCCACAGTGGCCTATCAAGCTACCCCTCTTAAGTCCCAAGACATTTCAATGCAAGATGTGCTTTACCATCGCATCCTCACCTCAACGCCATGCTTGGCTCGTCGTCATTCTTCCCTTCCGTGTTGCCAAATTCCAATGACATGCACCGCAACTTTTTTAGCTTACGATTCAAACTAGCCCATTCTGCTCCGACACGGATTTTTGTCATGCAATTGTACAATGCCAATCTGACGTGCTAGGATAGTCGCTCAGCTAGCTATTCCCTCTACGTACGTACAAAGACTTATCATCTACTTATGCGTTGCGAGCTGCCGCCAAACAACTGACCGCCCTCTCTCTACCCCGGCACCGGGCATACAGTGACCTCTCCCCATCCCAAGGTGATCCGTAGCCGTCGGCTTTCCTTTACAATCCCCAACAAGCTTAGGAATACTTTGCGCAATGCCCAGTCTCCATACTGACAGGGGTGCGGACCAACATCCGGAACGTGGAGCGCCCTTCCACATCGGAGCCCACGCTCTTTGGGTCCCCCTCGTACCGAGCTTCGACGCGATCCCTACTGTGCTTCTGACATTGCTCCAGGTCCTTATTCTATGGTTGATGGGAGTGCGTCACTCACCGCCTTTAGCTCTACCCTGTGCGGACACTGGCAGTTACCAAAGCATTAAGCGACGAGGTCAAAAAGACTTTACATGCTATTATCCTGGAATCATTCCAATTAACCAAACTGATGAAATCCGGAAGTCGGTGCCGCTCGCCCAATTGCATATTCCAGCTTGCGGGAGGTCATGTCTAGAATCACTATCAGAGGGTCAAAATGCGCGCGAGCACACAGTGAAAAAAGGAACCTCTACCCGAACTTGCACCAGTTCATATGGAACATAGCGAGTTCGTTGTCTGTCGTGCGAAGGGTGGAGTCTGTCACACTTATCTGGAGACTTAATGCTCTGGCGGCGGCTATCATTGCTACCGCAAATAGGATCGGTGGAAGCTAATCATATTGATACAAGGTATGAAAGTATACGATTGATTGACAACGAAGAAATGGATTGCCCAACGACTGGTAAGGTGTGAGTGAATGGCGGTAGTTGTACAAAGATGCAATACAACGACATCAGCAGCGTGAAACAAGAGGTCAACAATGGCCGATGTTCCGATTGCCTGTGAGGGAAATGGACATTGGACGCGGAGTGTAGCCCTGCAAGCTTGACATCGATGATGAGGCCTGGTCATCCCATTACGACCGGGATTTAATCGAATAAGATTTCGTCTGGAACTTCACCAGGGCGTTCAAAGAGTTTGCCATAGCACCTTGTCCACTTTTCCGAATAGTGTGCGTATGGGTTCGTCGCGTTCAAGTAATCGCCACACAAAAAGCAATAATGTTGTCCACACTGTGCACACATCATCTGTAGGACCACCAGTCATTGGTAAGGATAGACCGGCCATGATGCCATCAAACTTACGTGATTACAACCTGTGATTGCGTTGGGGGAAAATAAATTAACAATCCTTTCAACACGGCTCCTGGAACACGCTTACCATAGGATTTTTCGCACCGCGTATGACACTTGGGACACCCAGTAGTGAATTCTTCGATATATTTTTGGCTCATTTCCTCTTCCTCCGCCTTGGCAATCATCCTCTGGAGATTCTTCCTTCCAATCGACCTTTCCAGGGCCTTCCTGCGCTGTGAGCTTTCCGGCAAGGAGCGGTATTCTTTGAGGATGGCCGACGTGCTGTGTGTCTCGCACGGTATCAGCGGTCCATGCCTATTGTGATCAAAAGTCGCGGTCAGGTCACATAACCCAAAACATAAGTATTTGAGACGATCTGACCATGATTTGCGACAAAACACACAAAAGGAATACCCACATCCTTCGCACATGCGAAATTTAAACCATCCAATCGAATAAGCGGAAAGTTCCTCGCCTGGAGAGTGGTCGTTTGCGGAAGCTGGGGGCCGGACGGGAGCTTGACAGAACTGAAGTGGACAATGCACAATTGAAGGATCTGAAAGTGTGAATCCATTCAAAATTTGAGCTAGACTACTCGTCAGCATGGAGTAAACACACCTCGTTCAATATCGCGTTTCACTTTAAGCCATTTCCAGCGCGTCACCTCCTCATCCGTGAGGACTCTCCTCACATCTTCCTCTGCAGCTTCACTGTTGGGCTCATTAGCTTGGGCATTCGAATTTGCGGATAAACATCTTGTGTCAGGACACTTAACCTGACCACAATCGCCCTCGCGCACAGCCATACCCCACCCTTCTCGCAGGCATCCCTTACAGAAGATATGCCCACATGAGAGTTGTATACACGCCGTTCCCTTACGACTCTCGAGACATATCAAGCAGAAGAAAGTAGTCCGTGCAAACGATTCCTCGCCCATCCGCGCGTCATGCCACCGAAGCAAACCGGCCATTGCCTTAGGAGCTGGGTGTGTTAAGCTGATGGTGGCCGACGAAGAATCAGCAATGTGCAACGTGTGGTCTAAAAATGAACCATCTAGGATGACTTCTGCGATACGCCATAAAACACCCTCGCCTAGCCCTTTTTGCTCGACCCACAAGTCATAGAAACTCCGCATCAATGGGAGCATCAGCGAAGAAGGTAGCCACGAGTGTGCGAAATATGCTGAAATGATGAGAGGGGGGTCATGCAATGGATATGCTGAAGAAAGACGCAAATCTAAGATCAAAGGAGGAAGGTGCGAAACTACCAACACTTCCTCCAATGATTCTGGAGTCATAGTGGATGTTGAGGAATCTTGTCCAGGGCCAGACGCCGGTGGGGGTTCAAACTCAACTCTGATGGGCTGCTCTCTGCCAAGACTGATAGGTAGTTCGAGTTTGATTAGAGTACCCCCATCTTCTGAGGACTCCAAGCGTGTTATACAGTCCGGATAAATCGCCTAAACGAAACATCTATGTGCATGCTCCGAGTAGAGTGAAAAGGTGCCTACTTCCAGTGCCAACAACTCATCTTCAACGATGCTCCGACATGTTTCACCACCGTATGCAGCACCAGCCATGTGTGCCTTCTGATAGCTCGACTTCTGTCGTAGAATTAGCAAGCACGGGTGGACTGTGTTGTGGTGACAGATAAGACTGCGGCGATAAATGAAGAGAGTCTGAGAGGAGCCAATATTCAAATCGCAGCAAGTCCGGCTAGGCGCTTGTAAAATGACTCGGACGCCCACTGTCTGCCAGTGGCGGATAGTAAGTACATCGAAGGACAGAAGCTGTTATTGGTTATTTGTAGCGGAGCCAATTGCCATTCATGGAAGGAGAACATACTTTGCTCTGACTCAGGTACATGCTCGATCAAGAGAAGATTATAATGAGACCGATGCATGCGTAGGATCCATTATCGTGTGCGGGCGCAAGTCCCGACGGTCGTCGGCCTCTATTAGTGCCACGTTGCTCCGCAACCATCACACCCAAGCCGAATGTCTGGAAAAAGAGGACACCGCCATCAGCGAACCACTTCATAGATCCACGACACGATGTTGACTTTTTTTGACCACAGAGATGCACAGGTAATCAGAAACTGAGTCTTGTTGTAAGACGACATACACAGCTAACTCAAACAAGCCTCGAAACCTGAAGTCCTCATTTTTATCGCTCGCTCTATGCATCTCTTCGATGCACTTGCCTAATGTCCTGATGTCCTCTCCATCCACACACAAATTAAACAGTAATCAAATTTGATTCATACACCCTCGATTGTTCGCACGCCTTAATTTGCTTCACAACCATCGACTAGGCTCTCTCAAACCGCGCCACGACTGCTTTATCTTCGCAATTCCTCAGCAAACGGAGCTTTCGCAATCCTTTCGAGGCTCAACTCTTTTCTGACGGAGGGACTACCGATGATCGAATGGGCGCCTTCCACGGGAATTACAGCTACGCTGGATACTGTCTAAGTGAGATGCATTGCGGTTTTTCGGTTTGGCTTCTGGGTGATCAAAATGTTGGCGGGAAAGATGGCCGGACCAGTCTGAGAGCGCACCCGGGTAAAAAAAACAATATGTTGTGCGATGCATTCCCATCTCGAATGGCACGAAGATCCCACATGCTGAGGGTGCTAACAGGCCGCCTTTTCCGGGCTTGTTTACTCGTCCACGTACGCCGCCTGTCACGGCATTCTTCAGATCAACCAGAGTGTCAGCAGGATCCAGGACATCGAAACAAGAGTAGTCAGTGAGAGCCTAGATACCTACGGAAGTGATTACAAGGGTCGTACTTGGACAAATGATTTGAGAAGGATGTTCAGATTTCACTACGCATTATAAATCTGGTGCCCCTGCCATTCTGACAGAGTGCAGGAGTATCGCTCTCGTGTACGAGTCGAAGTTCGCCTGATAGCTTTGGGAAGTCTCGTGGACCATCTGCCGATACCGGATAATGCGCACAACAGACCCATCCTGGATGTCACACTCAGAAAGTGCCAAAGTGGAACGGACTCCTGCCACCCCTCGAACAAGAGGCGCTGCTCAGAGGGTGGAATGCCCATCATGTACTGTTTATCTTTATCTTGAGATCGTTGATCGTATCGTTTCTCTCGATATAGAAACCGTACGTCCCACTCGGCCTGTAGAGATGGGAATGGTTTAAGAGGTGTCGCATGACGACGAAGACCCTCGTCTTAACGAGGAAGATGCATTGTACGACGGAGTTGATTAATGGAAAGAGTTGGCACATTCTGTATGTTGTTAGTCAAGAGGGTACAACCGTCCTCAGACTCCGTTTATTTTTTTTTGGTGGAACCTTCGGTAGCTTTCGCGGGCGAGATGCCTGAAGGTTTGTAGGGAAGGGCGGAGCCTTCCAGAGGGCAGTGATGATGGTGACGTAGGCTGAAAGAGCTTTTGGACCTAGCTTCTGGTATTCATCCTTTTGGGGACTGATTTAACTCCCCATAAAAGGCAATTTTCCTGTCACTGATCGGACTTTGGGTCCCGATTCAGGGTCCATTTTGAGAATGCCTTGCAAATGATCACTGTCAGCTCAAATGTGACCCCACAAAAGGGCCGGCCACAGCTTGTCGTTCAACTCTACGTCGGCCACCGAGCGTCTACAGACAAGAATTGTCAATGGCCATTGTGACATCTATCATTCTCGAAAGGAACTATCGCGTCGACATTATTGTGGACCTCGTGAGGCTCTTTGGCCCTCCCATTCTCATATTTTCAGCGGTAGTTTCCTTTATCGTTCCTCGCACAGTTCTCGCTGCGAATTTTTCGCGGCCTCTTCTCTATGTGTTGATAAGCGTGTTGTACTGGACTGCAAAAGTGCAAATTACCCAATGGAGGTACCGTCAAGAGGCCAAGAAACTGGGTGCGGTCTGCTTTCCTAAACTTCGGGGGAAATGGCCTGGAAACCTGGACATCATTTATCTGTACGTCTATGTCTAAACAAACCAATCCACTACATTAACTATTTTCATCTGAAAAAAAAACACACACACATTTGTTGTTTCTGCTCCCCCCGTCCCGGTTATGGACAGTGGGATGCGTTCACTCAAGGAGGGATACATCGCCGACTCTGAGGAATTTTTCGGCGATGGCGACACATTCAATATGGGAGCGTTCTGGACGAATATCTATGTTACTAGAAGTCCTACCTTCATACAACACGCACTAGCGACGGAACCTGACTTCTTCCCCATGGGAGAAGACCAGTGCACCTCGTGAGATCCTTTAATATATCATTTCTCCTTTTCTGCCGGGGACCTCATTTCATTTCATACATCGGTCTTGCCTGGTAGGCTTCACGGAATGTTTGGGAATGGTATTTTGGCAACTGATGGCGCTGAAGCTAAGGTACGTAGAGGAATAATGAGACCTTTTTTTGGTACGTGAAAGAACATTGTCCCAGTACATCATGAGCTCACCATCCCTCCAACTGACATGTCATAGCCAAACAGCGTGTCCGGGACTTCGACCTTCTTGATCGCTATGCCCAGAAGGCCCTCGCTCTCATCCATGAGAGGGCTCAATCTGGCCAATCCATCGACGTTCAAGACTTGTTCCAACGTTTCACTATCGACATTGCAGGAGAATTTCTCTTCGATACGACAGAACTTAACACTCTTGACCTACCGCTCCCCTTCCAGGACAAGTTAAGCCTGGTACAAGAGGAACTCTCGCGGAGGGACCTTATGGTGGAACAATCCACGCCATTGACAGGCTTCAGGATATTTCTGTCCTTCGTAGCCTTAAGGGGAGGGCTTGGGGGCTTTTCGAGTTTTTGAAAGACGAAACGAAGGAGCACAATAGGGTCGTTGATCGATTCATTTTACCGCTCGTTGCTAAGGCTTTGGAGAACAAGAAGAAGAGAGGGAATCAGAAGATCGATATTCAGGATGGGAAGTTCATCGACCATTTGGCGGATTCGATGGATAACGCTAGATTGATTCGCGATGAGGTAAGTACGACGTTCGACGTGGAAACCTTCAAGCTTTGGAGAAAATCCACCCTCCCATGCGTGGCTGGGATGCTCAGTGTGTTCATGGACTACGCAATAGTTGTTCAATGTCCTCTTGGCATCTTGGGATACTTCAGCGTCAACGTTAACCTTTGCACTCTATTTCCTATCCATATATCCTGAAGCCGCAGCCAAGTTGCGAGACGAAATAACCAGGATTCTTCCAAGCGGATCTCCTACACTCGATAGCATCCGGAAAATGACCTATTGTGAGTCTTGCGCGCGCGCGCGAACCTTTTCACAGTGTGAAGGCTAGCTGATGACACCACACTAGTGCGTGCCGTTCTCAATGAGACATTACGTCTCTTCCCTCCAGTTCCAACGATCCCTAAGGCTTCCAGAACGGCCTGTCTCGTACCTGGGGATCGCACGACAAACGGGAAACCAGCGTACATCCCTGCGGGAGAGGAGACGATTCTCCTATCTGTATTCGCTCTTCACCGAAAGAAAGATGTATGGGGGGAAGATGCAGAGCTATTCGTTCCGGAACGTTGGATCGATAAGGATGGAAGGCATAAAGTTTTGCATAACTCTCGTGCATTCTATCCGTTTGGCGCTGGGCCAAGGGCTTGTTTGGGTCAGGTAAGATGACGTTGATGACTATTTAAAGATCATTGCTCGGCTGTGGGAAACTGGCTAACGACGCTGCTGTATTATGCCTTGCAGGAGTTCGCATATAACGAGGCAAGCATCAGTACGTATCATATTCTATCCAAACGCTTTTCATCGTTTCGAATGGTTTTACTGATCACTGGGTGGGGTGTTCTGTTATCTGCGCAGTGCTAATTCGTATCCTTCAAATATGCGACACCTTTACATTACGCCAAGAACAAGATGCTCCCCAGGGTCTTGCCCACCGGAGTCATGGAAAGGGGCTCCAGGAAGGAAGGGAATTGAGCAGGTTTGGCCCAAGACGGCTATCACCTTATTTGTCAAGGTAAAACATAATCTCGCCGTTGACAACAACGCAACGGGATGTTACACAGCGGATCCTCACCAGATTTTCTTTTGGTTTAGGGGGGTTGTTGGGTCCAGATGGGCCTCGCATGTACTAGTTAAATGATGGTTTAATAGAAGTACATTGTTGCCACGCTATCACACCGGTATGCCCGTCCAGCTGGACATGATGGGGTGGCCGCATCAGAATCTACAGAACATCCGGATGCCGGGGCAAAAAAAAAACCACGGCAGGCCTGGATCTCTTTTTTGCGTTGCCGTTGGAACCGGCATCGGTGTTAGCTGCAAGTTGTAAACCAACACGGGCTATCGGTTACATAAACCCGGGAGCTGCTGGCGTAACTAGCTGTGCGTTATTTGATCGATGTGGTTGTATTTCCATCAAGTCAGACCCAGTTTACGCACAGCCGCAGAATTTGCTTATGTAAGAGTTACGAGGCCGTTGGCCGACCTAAATACATATTACATATCACGAGTCAGCGTTTTACTGTCTTCCCCGTACTTACCTTCTCGTTTTCTCTCTCAGCCACCGTCTACCAGTCAGCCCTTTGGCTTTTTTCTGTCTCCTCGTATTCACCTTTTCGCGTTTGCTCTCTCGTTCCAGTGAATTTCGACAGCGAATTCTTCAGCTCATGCGTTGCCGTCGCTCAGCAAGAGAGCACGGGGTTGCGTGTCTCTCCCGCAGTTGGCGACTTCGATCTCACCAAGACCAAGGATATCCTGGAAGACATCCCCCCTCAGTCGCCCCTAATTTCCAACTCCTACCCTGGGGCTTTCTCTGACTTCTATGGCTTCCCTTCTCATCCCATCTGCGTCTACCGTACGGGCGACGAGTGGCCAATGCCCAAAGGCCCCCAGGCGCAGCGTGTGCCGAGGGGGGCCAGGCCCGTCTGCAACCACCCAATCCGAGCCTTGTGGCGCACACTAGGTGAACAGGTGTACAAGTTCCTCGATTCCCTTGAAGTCTTGTGGTCGACCATCGATCCTGTCCGCTTCGCCGAGGAAGAAGGGGAAGCCGGTCCCCTCTATCTCTGGGTGGGCGTCATTCCTAGGTCTCTCTCCCTCGAGGTCGCCAAGGTCGCAGCCGTCGGCTGCAAGAAGATCCTCGCTGCCGCTCAGTTCCCTCACGTCGAGATCGCTTTCAGGGAGTCCGTCTTCACCCGATCCGCTGGCCCACAGCTTCTGAACCAGTAGACCCCACCGCCGACATTCGTAGCCCCTTCACTGGCACTCTCGGTGTTCAGATCGCTCCCCGAAACACTTCTCACTTCGAGGGCACCGGTGCTCTGTACCTCTGCGAGGGCGGCCAAAGCAATCGGGTCTTCCTCCTGACCACCCGCCACGTTGCTCTCCCGCCGAGCGTACACCACAATGAGCTCTATGAGCGCAAGAGGACCAGCCAGCCTCGTCATGAGGTTCTCATCCTCGGCAGCAAAGCGTACCCAGACACCCTCGAGGCCCTGATGGCTGACATCGGGCGCGAGCTTATCTTTGTCGATCACTTCAACAGGGAGCTTGCTGCGTTAGGGGAAGCCGTTGAGGGCGAGGACGCCACGGTAGCTGAGGTGCGCCAGGAGTTTAAAGGCAAGTTGGCAAAGGCGGAGAAGACGATCATGACCGTAAACGCGTTCCACAGTGACATCGCCAAGCACTGGAGCACGGCGAGCCAGCGCGTGATCGGTCACGTCATCTATGCCCCTCCTATTTCCGTCGGTACCGGCCCCAAGCCATTCACCGAAGATTGGGCTTTGATCGAACTCAACCGCGACAAGATCGATTGGAATAATTTCAAGGGCAACGCCGTGTATCTCGGTCCGTCCCGATCTATCTTACAGAAGTCATCTAGTCAGACTATTATATCCAGGAAACAAGATTTCGGCCCCTGACTTTGTCCTCAAGATGCACCCTCACCCTGAGGGCCGCTCCGCCTTCAAGTATCCGGTTGGCAGTCTCCTGCATGTTAAGGGCATCGTCAAGGAGGAAATACGCCAGCCGACCTTGCTCGACGCAAATGGAGAGGAGTGCCTTATCGTCATCAAAAACGGTAAGAGCACTGGTATCACCATTGGTCTCGGATCCGATATAGAGTCCTTCATTCGAGTGTACGACGAGTATGGCATTAAGTCGACATCGATGGAGATTGCCATCCACCCCTACAACCACAAGGACGGTGCATTCTCCGCCCCTGGGGATTCGGGGTCCATTGTCGTTGATGGGCTGGGACGTATCATCGGCCTGCTTACCGGCGGTTCCGGCACGACTGGCTCTACAGACGTGACCTACGTGACGCCGTATTCCTGGGTCGAGGAGCAAATCAAGAAGGCGTTCCCCGACTCCTACCTCTACCCGATCAAGGGGTAGGTTGCGACATCAACACCATGACATCGGCGAGGCTGGCGAGGCGTCTCGTTACTTTTCCACCTATGCGACTTCTTCTCTTTCCGTCACACTCCTTTATCTGTCAGTTGTCGCTGCCGACGTGGTGGACTATTGCTTAGGTTCGTCTCTTTCTTTTCCTCGCATTGAGGACTTTGACGTCTTAGGCCCTAGCATAGTGGACTCGTTTTTTTGTACAACTAACGGTTTTTTACTAATGGTGTAGGCCCCAGACTCGTCAGCTTGTCTCGTTTCCTTCCTCCCTTCGCGCAATTGACGACCTTGACGTCCAGGTCCCAGACGACTAGCTGGACTGCCGGACAAACTCGTGACCTTCGAGTGGCGTCTCCTGGGCATATGCGGACATTCGATTAATTGGTCCTTGTACGGTAGCATCTCGTTTTCTCTCGGACAGTCGCAACGTAACTTTGTATAATCACCCTCCACCACTCCTCGATCGCTTGTATGAACCTTGTATCTTGAATTGATTTCGTGTTTGAATTGCGCGCGATAATCCAAGGTTCAATACCTAAGTAAAGTCGACTTGGGCACTTGGTACTCTGGCGCTACGTAGTGCTTGTCTCTCTTCTCGCTCACCACTTCACCGTCGCGACTAAAACTCCAGTTTTTAACTTCGTCTTACGACTTCACCCCAATATAAGTACCACCGTTTGCAGGATTTCGGATACCGAAGCCAATGAGATTACCGCTAAGGCTTTGGAATATCATGTCGGACAAGGATCTACGTCGCCCGACTAAACTCGACTAAGATGATAACCGATACGTCAAAACCACATCTTTTTGGCAACAAGTTCAGTACTTCTCCACCAAGCTAGGACGACTGCAGCTCTATCTCTATTCACGACTCGACAACCCGACGTAACGGCCGATCTCTTTGCTAGATATTATGCACGTCTATTTGATAGGAGCTGATTTTAACAATGACGAAGTCCTTCGTATACTACCAACTTCGCTCATACAACGACGTTTGTACAACGTCGCTCTCTATATAAAGACGTAAGCACGTTAGCCCTTGTTACTAATAAAGTATCAGGTCTTTCTTGACTTTCTGAATATCGTATACGCCTAACGACATCGACTAACGATGTGAGGCGGACCTACTGAACGGCCTCCACCCATCTCTTAGCTGCAGAGTAGCTAGTAGTACTTCACCAGCCCTAGTCCTTCCTCCACCATGCAATGATTCAAGGCCATTGCAACCAGCTTATTGCTTCGGGTAGGCGTCGAGCTTTAGGTGGGTATTCCAGCCTAATCAGCCAACCGTTTTGCGTTGCTCAACACTAGAGGGTCACCCTCGGCCCCACGAGCCTGCAGTAGTCCCTGGATGAAGTGGGGGGCCTGTTGCGGTTGGTTATGTGAACAGAAGTGTGGAGGCCTGAATATTGTCATTTAGAATGAACTGAACAGCGCTGGAGGGGAGAATTGCACATGAAGGGGTGGCCGCATCAGAATCTGCAGAACATCCAGACACCC